GAAAGTGGAGATGTGTTGTCGAAGCCCTATGATCATCTACTCGGAACCAAATGGAGTTAAGAGTCTCCTTTTCAGAATCACTGACACACACACACACTGACTTGTTAAAAATTGTGGCAACTAATGAAATGTAGAGTTCACTGAAGGATAATGCTGATGTCAGTGAGATGTTTGTCATATGGACTGTCTTCAGGATGAATATATAAGCATGTAGGCATGGACGTCTGATCTTCATGCCATCACTACTCATATTTGTGTGATCTTCCATTATTCTACCGTCTTGCCCTTATTAGTTGTAGGTATGAATGTAGGTTTGTGTGTTTGTATGTTAACAGACTACTAAGTTTGAAAATAAGCTTTTATTAACTGGATAATCGCATAGACAGTGACAAATAACTTTGTCTGGTCTCGTAAAACTTGAACCTCATCTGTCATTTTGGCACTTAAACCCTACAAAAACTGTACTTCCTATCTGATCCACCTACCATTCATTGAAGCGTGAGATTTCACTTGAAGAATTGATCCTATTTATCAAGTTGCGTGCGAATTATTTTACACTTCTTTTTTTTTTTTAATTAAAAAAATCAGTCTGTTTATATAGGCTAAAGGTCAAGGACAATATATTCTTGAACTTTATTCTGTATAAGATATTCAAGATAGTATTTATTCACCTATGACATTAATTTCGAAATAAATCTACTGTGAAATTCAGTTTGGGGCTTAGCTGTTCTCCGGAGGCCACCTAGAAACGTCCAATTTATCCACTAAGAAAAACATGGTTCTTACAAAGTATGATTTATAGGTATTGCAGAAATGCGAATGCAACCGGGTTCACCGACTCCGGCCTCGGAAGAAGCGATATCCAATCCACATGTGAACGGATCAATCTGGATAAGTGATATGCATCAGCACTAAGTAGACAGATTGGGAACTTTATGGAATTACAGACAAGATTGTAAGGAAGACTGATATAAGTATAAAAGAATGTGTAGAAATGAGAAGCGGAACTGTTCATATTGTGTTACTACTTCTACTACTTGTTAGATGAACTTGAAGCAACGACATTCCACTTTGTTTCAGGAAACAGTACTCTAAATCAGTGTACTTCAATAAGACTAGGGTAAACAAGAGAACTATACTCTTCTCTTGGGTGTTGACGCTTTCAAGGATTAATTGGGGGGAAATATTCAGGTTATATAATCAACAAAACTGCTTACTCTAACATAAATTCATAAATTCTTTAGTGTGACCGTTCCAGGAAATGAAATTTAAGTTATGAAAACCCTGTTCTTCTAGTGTTGTTCCCATACGAATGGTCCATAACAGTAACAGATTTGTGCAGTTTCTTTACGGAAATAATCATCCAGCACACACTGATTTGAAACCTGTCAACTTGATGAGTTTCTATGAAGAGGCCACTGTACCTTCAAGAATAGAAAGCATAGAATGTATATAAGAATAGTCTTGATGTTAGCTAGTTGAAGACAATCGTCAGGAAGTCATGGTCCTAGGTTTCGTGTTTGGTGGCACTCATGAGGAAGGCTTTTCTGCAACCTTGGAGGAACTCATGTCCCCTCCCCCCGTTGGATTCAAGTTTCTTTCAAAGGCTTCTTTTCTACTGCCTGCAACCGTCCCACATCAACTCAGAGTGCATTGTGATGGCGACTGCAAATTTTGACGAATAGTATTCACTCTACAGAGAGAGGCACTTGAGCCTCTGCAAGCACTGGCAAGGAACCATGCTTTTGTCCACGCCAAGCCAAATATTAGGCTATGTCATCCTGGGGAGGTTAAAATGATACAGAACTCCACCCCACTGGAGCCAGGTGGATTTAGGAAAGGCAAATCATGTGCTGACCAAACTGCACCGAACAGAACATAGAATGGAAGTGAAATTTCTGTTTTTATTTCTTTGACTTTGTAAAGGCGTTTGAAGGCATTATAATTGTGAAGTAATTTGGAAACTACTTAAACACTTCTGAGTGCCTCAAATCTCTATCAGCCTCATTCAAAAACTCGCTATACGACAATGCCATAAGTTAAGTGATCCATAAGGGAAAACTCAGCCAATCCTCTGGAGGGAATACAGGAGAGTAAGCCAAGGCTGCCTATTATCAGCGATGATATTCCTGATTGTGGCGGATTAGATTATACGGAACACCATGAGTTCGGAGCCCCATATGACACGACTACTTTGGAACGATAAGAAGACCCTAGAATATATGGATTTCGAGGATGGATTTACGTCTAATTTTATACAAACTCGAAGATCTACAAGCGAAAACCAACAAACTGGCAGAGGAGGCAGGCAGTAAAAATAGAAAAGGATTTCAAGTGAACACAGAGAAAACGGAGGTGATGAAGATAACCAACCAGCCAACCAACCAAACAACCAACAACAAGTACCCCAATCACTATCAACGTAAAGAAGTCACTTCTTTCGCTCATCTGGACAGCGTCACTTCAACTACAGGCATGCGGCATTGATGAGGACGTCAAAACAAACCAAGATCAGAAAGGCGACATAGACACTGATCACTCTAAAATCAGTTTGGTAATCTCCTACACTCATCATAAAGAACAAGATTCGAGTTTTGATCACCAATATTACGTCATTCACTTCTTTCATATAAGTGAAAAACTTGGTGTGGCCATCACGAAAGGCATTTCCAATGGTCAGATGCATTCTTTGTCTCCATAATGAAAATCAAACGATAGATAGGAAAGAATTAAGAAAAACAAACTCTCTGAACGAGCCAATCAAGAACGTGTTGCTGCAGAAATATCCCAAAGTAAATGGAGATATACTGGATACACGCTGAGGAGTCTACCGAGTGACATCGATCGTTAGTCGTCAAGCGGAACCCGAATAGGAAACGAAGAGTTGAGAGTTGCTTCGAGGGTTACAACTGCAGAAGATAGCGTGAGGAGAAGATGAGAACCTGTTGGCAATTGTGAGGTCAGTTGGAGATGACTGTAGAGAATAGGGTGACATGGAGATGTGCTGTTGAAGCCTTATGCGCCACTCCCGAGGACTAGACACATAGTGGCCAATTAATGTACATAAAAACCTCCGCCTAATTCGAAATATCATACATCGGTCAAGTGCATGTTCTCCACGAATTGCTTTCTCTCTCGAAACTCTCTAATATGTCTAGTTTACACTACAGTCAAAGGGTGACGAGGATAAACAGGCTTCTAAGAATTATTAGTACTCCAAGTGAAGCTGCTTTCATAAGGCCAATTTCGAAATCTGTACATCACACTTTATCAGTGAAATTATGCTTATATTCCTTAAACGAAGCAAACAGATGAGTCCCTGTGCAAGAACTAAACTCCACAATGGATATGTCTATCTCTGATACAGCAAGTAAATTATTCAGTTCATGTAACAATGTAATAACATGCAGCAGCTTAAAGCAATTATTGTTGCTAATATTACGACGCAAACATGAAATGTTGAGATTTTATTCCCGTCCTGAAGTTTGAGATTAGACCTAATATATCACACTCTTTAAATTTAAGCAATGTGGTGATGACGGCATCTGGCAACTTGTAATTTGTAAAGCCTAAGTGTTACACCTAATGCCACGCACGATGATAGATAAGATTTGTTTTTCAGCTTTGACCACGGATTGATGTCATTTAGAGAACCGTTGAATACCAGGGAGTACTGAATGGGAGTTTCATATCTGTTTGAGACTCTTCACCCGGGGTTCAAATCGGGGACTTTCCGGGTGTAAGGAAAGCTGGTAGACCATTCGGCAACTGGAACCCGACTCCCAGGCCAACTCATGAATTCTGACTCCTACCGAGCCATGAATTTTTCGCGACCATTAGCCGGTGTTATCTCTGACGAGTATTCGTCCTCATTACCGATGACCAGGCAAACCACCACCTCCCCCCCAGTGACGACTTCTCACCAGAACTTCTGGCAACTTCGTCCTATAGCCAATCAATCGCGGGAATCAGATTAATTTTCAAGATTTAGTCCGTAAGGATCTGATTTGTAGTTCGAGTAGACGATATTCTCGTAATCACTTTCTCTAGGTTGGATGGATTATTTGAACAGTTAAATCACATCACTTTATACAAAATCAATTGGCATAGGGTTTGGAAATTCTACTCTGTACAACAAACTGCCCTTATAAGAAACAAAACTGCACACTATGAAGATATCATTGAGAATCAGAATGCAAGAGTAATACGATGGAACAACACTGAGTCAGCTATACTATTTGAAATTAAACACCCTGAGAATTTTATACTGTGTTAACAATATTGCATAGAAAAAACCTGTTATTACTATTATTGTTATTAGACCTTGAGTGCTAGCTAAACTGTTCACTTTCTTAAAATCTCTCTTGTCTCTTATATTATTATTATTTCCTTTAATTCCTAGAGGAACATAGGGCTTCAGCCGCGCATCTCCATTGCGTTCAGTTCTCTGATAAAGTTTTCACCTGGCTCCAAGTCTACCCACATGCTTTCATCTCCTCTTCACATGACCTCCTCAAAGTCACCCTCACAGTGACAACCAACTCGCCGCTTCCCTTTCAGGTTCCCCTCGTCCGATGGCTTGTCTAGTGATGTCGCTCACTTGATGGTTTCCTCAGAGTGTGGCCAATCCATCTTGTCTCTAATGTCCCCTTTTGCAGATATAGAATTATTCTACATCTAGTCAGAAATCGTGACCAATGGAGTCGACGAAATCGACTGTGATTTCAGACGCGCTCCTCCAATGATAATGGATGCCAGTGGTGCCGTGTCACTGCTTACAGTATTTCAACTAAGCAGGCCAACAGAAATATTGTCGCATCCTAATAGTGTTCCGACGGGCTGTAACTGAGAATAAACCATCCACATCTCACAGGTTTCTGATGGAATGCTTACTAACTAGTCGTCTTCGTCAACTATTCGACACAATGCACAGTAGTGTTGCAGAACAATCGAAGAAATTGGAAAACGCAAAACGAGGAGAAGGAAGGAGAACACTAGACTTGTTCAACAATGTTTCTTTATTCTTCTGTGTTAATTATTTTCTCATTTTTCACTTCTTTTTTTTATTAAAAAAACAAAACAAATAAACAAACCCCGACAAACAAACAAACAAAACAAGGCAAATTCATAAAACATTACAATTTTGTTTGCATTTTATAGTGAAAGGACATTGTCGATGTCAGTATTGATGTCTGTAATGTCTGTTGTAGCAGTAGTAGTAGTACTTGCAGGACAAGTAATATTAACCTTCAGTCTGATCACTGCTCACTCCTCCTTCATTATTATTTCCAGCTACCACTGTATACACACACACACACACACACTCATATATGTATAGTTTGTGTTGATGTGAGGCAAAAATTAATATCCATTAAAAAGTATCATTAAATAGTAAGTAATATTAGCAGCCGTAATGGTACACAAACACACACACTCACACACAGTGATATAGTGGCCCTGAATGATGAGTTCACTTCGTTTCATCCCATATGAAGTAGATGAGACGAGGGAGAGAGAGAGAGAAAGGGACAAAAATAGTAATATAGAGTAGTAAAACAACATCAACAACAAACAAAATAAAAACGAAAACCGACAAACAAAACTTCCCTAAAAGTTTCAAAAAATAGTAATAATATAATAGATTATATTCATAAAAGACTAAGTGTGAGTAGAAAATGGCACCACCTGAGACAATTGAAACAGTAAATGAATCAATAAGTAGATGAATTAGAGAGAGAGTGAATGACTGAATAAATCAGTGATTGTATGACTCAATGATTTATACTCATGTGCATTTGTTCGCATATGAAACCAGATATATATATATATGTGCGAGGATTCAGCGTTTTGCACACTTTTGAGACAGAGACAAGGAGAGTAGAAAGAGTCGACACATGATGCTTAGCTTCATTCCCTTCCATGCTGTCGATGTTCTTCCTCCCTTCCATGCCGTCATCACCTGTGTTGTTGACGCTGACGCTGAACAGCTTCATAGAACACTTCACTCCCAAAAAAGAGGAATACTCTAGTGAATAAAAGGTGATAGCAGCATTATGTATGCGTATATGTGTATGTGTGTATTAACAGCTATAAATGAAAAAGATGAAGGCAGATCATTCAAAAATTACTGTTCACATCTAATGCATTTCTATGCGTGTTGATTAAAAAAAAGAAATAACATAAATTTCCAAGAATATATTATCTGTGTGCATATATGAAAAAGTAGAATTTCAATTGTCCTGAGATGATCAGTTGATTGAGTGTGTGAATAAACTTCAAGAAGAAGTGGTCATTATCAAAAACGGATAAAGAGGAAGGAGAGAAACACAAAATATGGAAATTTGCCTCAACACTAACTAACTAAGAGTATTACTTGATCCAAATAAACTGACTACCCCATAGAGCTAACAGTATCAATTACAGACTAATACTAAATAGTCATTACATTACATTACTACTAATGACTACTATTAAAAAATTACTGGCAAGTAGTATGACTAATTTCAATTTTTATTATAAAATAGGTTTTTTTAGTAAAAAAAAAACAACTGTAGAACTAAGAAAGCACAAAGGGGAAAAGTGTGTGTACTGTACAACCTGAAGAAAATATTAGTTTTATTCAACTGCAGAGAAAATATCCAACCAGTTTGATAATCAGCATATTATACATAAATATTATAAATACTACTTTCAGAGAAGAAAAATATATATGTATGTGTGCATATATATGTACGTAGAAAACTTAGGATTGTCGGTGTTTTTTTTATCAGTATAAAATTAAGTGATGAAGTTCGAGAATCAGTGTGTGTGTGTTTGTATCGTTAAATGCTTGAATCCAGCGGGTTGCACACCATACTTATAAATATTAATGCAGATAAACAAATGTGTATGAAAATTTCGTACGAATGAATATAGATATTTAGGTGTATATATTGAATAGATAGATATTAAGATATTAAATATGAAGTTAGCAAAAATTGTACCATTTTCAATGGTTTACTTAAAAAATGTTTTAATGTTATTTAAATAAGGAAACGAAAAAAAACGAACACCTGAGTTATGCAACTTAGATATGCTGAGAGAATATATTATATTGTATGTCTGTGCATGTATGCATTTGTTATATGTGTAACTAAAAGAGATATACGCACGCACGCACGCAAGCACGCTGGCCCATACGCAAACACACACACGCCCAAATAAACACATGTTCAGCAAACAAAATTTAGAATGTTAAATGCTCAACGTGGTCGTTGTTTATTATGCCGCCACAGACCAATCAGGTTTTATAACGAATAAACTTGACTTATCTAACGAATCCAAATCAGCTAAAGATGATGAATAAATTTGTGGAGCACTATTCAATATCTCTTCTAATGAATTCATTCTAACCGATGAAGCTGTCGTTGGCACACCTGATGCCTGTGATAATAGACATGACGATGGTTGTGAACAAAATGAAGACTTTGATAAATTTGACATTTGTTTGTGTGGAAAATAATCATTATCGCTTTGTAGCAAGGATGAAGCACTACTCACAGTCATAGTACCATTCATAGTAGCATTAGTATTACTACTGGTATATGATTCATGATTATTCGAAAATTCAATATCAGGTTTAATATGATATAGTGTTGAAGTATGCTCATCAATGAATGGTGATGCAGTCATCCTCTGACAAGTATCGTCGAATTCATCGACCTTCATTGGATGATTATCAGTGTTGTCATTATTTCTAGTATTATTGTTATTATTACTATTATTATCATTACCCGCATCATGTTCATTGATATTAGAATATTCTAGATCATATGAAGTGGACTGCAATTGTCGATTTAAATCATTATCATAATCCCCATTAAATTGATGTTCTTCATTCGATTGAAATGTACCGGGTAAAAATGTTGTAATATCAATTGAATTCATCATTGCATCAAAACTTGAATCGAAATTATCATCTGTGCTTATAGGGAAATCGGTATCGGATATATCATTTTCATTAATAATACAACTTGTATGGTTAGATATGGTTGTTGATAACGATGATGATGAGATTAGATTTCTGTTTACAGATTTCATTACATCTACAGACAATGGTGGAAGCCTAGCAGTTGTCATATATCCAGGTGACAGTTGACGATCGTCTTCCACTTTGATTCTTGTCGTTGTTGTTGTTGTCGGTGTCATCGTTGCTGCAACCGATGTCATTATTCTCGACATTTTAGATGATGACGATAAAGACGGTTCCATCGATTCACTAGTTGGTAGGTTAGACGACCAATGGGGAAGAATGGAAGACGAGAATGATTCGTTCGTTCCTTCCATACATTCATCCATACTGATAATATTTGTCATTGTATCTGACTGTTGTGAATTAAAATTTGTCATCCTTTCTTCATCCATCATTATTTCTTCCTCTATGCATATGTCTGATTCATTCTGTGCATCAAATTGATAGATGTTCATGCAAGGCGACTCTCGTTTTTGAATATTAGAGCTGGAAACGACTTCAACTTGTTGCATAGGGAGAAACACATCACCAGATAACGGTGAGACAACAGAAGTTGGTGAAGAATTACAACTATATGGTGAGGAAGACAGCATCTCTGAATTGACAGCTGGACTACACGTGACAGAATCTGTACATGACGAGTTTTGATGCATGACATTCATCACTTTCAACGGTTGTACAACTTGTACTGACTTAGGCACAGTTGGTATAATCCGATTCCCGTTAGATATATAAATGCGTCTCGTGGTAGATGTTGTTGTTGTTGGATGAGATGAGTTTGTCTGGAAAGGTATGCGTCCAATATCTCCATTTGTCTGAATTATTGCTGTACCGGGTGGTAGTGTGAACATCAAACCTTCTGTAGGACCTCGCCCTTCATGATCCAGTTGTATGTAAACTGGTGTTAAGATATCCGTTGTCAGCAAGTCGTTATCGTGCAGCAGAATGGTTTCATTTATTTCTTCACCAGAATATTTTTGTGGCTGCCTTACTTGATCATTAGACATCCGTGAAATTATTACATTCTCTGATTGCGATTTAAACTGGAATCCATTCATTTGTAGACCAGTACCACTCGACAAACTGGTGCCATTGTTAGCAGATAGAAATCGTTGACGTGTAGGCTGATTAACCACAGGTGGTAGTTGTTGTGATTGTGGTCTGATAGGGATGAAGTGGATTTTTCTACGAATAGGCGATGTTTTATTTGTTTTATTAATAGACGATGTAGACGAACATGACTTAGCCGGAGAGATCAGTTCACCGACTGCTGGTGAAGATGCTGATGACGAGGAGGAGCTGTTTATCCCAGATGCATAAGCTGAATCACATATTCCATTTTGAAACTGATCACCTGTATGCTGAGATAATGTTAGCAGTGGTGGAAGGACGGCGGACAGACTATGTGAACTTGGTCTGAATGATAGTGTTTGACTATTGTTGTTATTACTGGCGGCAATACCGGCGTTGATACTATTAATAGTATTAATACTCAATGGTTTCGACTCCAATTTAGCATAGATTGTGTTACAAGTTTGCTTTAGCGGGCTTGTTTCAAAGTTGTTGATTAGATTTCCCCCACTACTCCTATGACTTCCAACACTCAGTATACCGTTCACTTGATTTCTTAGAACAGAATTACTAGTCTGTCCGTTCAGTGAAGAATAACCACGACTCACGCATGGAGGTTTACTTGTTGCCGAACACGACTGTGTATGACTGTATTCGTTATTCGACTTAATTAAACTAGTAGAGACCAACTTCGTCGTTGAAGTTTGATCATCGCGTATCGTCACCGACATAACTGACTGTGTATTAGCATTTATTCCACTAACGTTGATGTTAGCATTGATGTTGTTGTTGTTGTGGTTGTTGCTATTATTGTTGTTATGGTGATGATGAATAGGTGTACGAGAGTGGTGTTCTGTTGTACTGCTTACAGTCGATGTAATCTGACGCTTTTTTGGTTGATACTTGTAATTAGGAAATTCAATCTGATGAATTTTAACTAGTCGATTCGCCTCATCATCATACTGATTACGACAACTTCTGGGCACTGTACGCCATAAATCGCCCAGTTGTTGACTTATAACAGAATTTGATGCGTCACTGAATACACGGAGTACATTACGACGAATGTGTTGTGCAAATAGCTGTAAGAAAATGTAAAACAAAGAGATCTTGTGAAATTGAACAAATAATGCCTATGAGGATATTTTTTTATCTGTAAAGAGAGGATCCACATTATTAGTATTATTATTGTTGATTTCTCGCTGGCTGCTAGCAACCTGCAATATCAAAACATAAAATTATAATGGAAACTTCAATCAGTAGGGAAAAACAGACAGGGATAGGCAAAGTGCAGTGAGAAATCAACATCATCAAGAATAACTTAACAATAACCAAAATATCACTGAGTCAATGAGATATGAGTCTCTTTAAATATATATAATAATATAGGGTAGGTGCGTCGGTGGCACAACGGTTAGGACGCTCGCCGATCATGCACATGGTCCGGGGTTCGATCCCCGGCCAACGAACTCCTTTACCTCGCTAACTCAGAAATAATGCTGGTAAAGAGGAAAGGTTGGGCATGAGGCTAGTAACCCCATCCTGTAAAATAAACACTGCTACAGAAACTTCAAACCATTAACTTGAAGCCCTATGTTCCACTGGGGAACTTGAAGAAAAACAAATTATTATTACCGGCAACGGAATTATTCGTATGCACGTCTAGAAAGTTGAATGTCATAACTGAAGCATTGTAATTGGTAAATATAGGTTGGATTGTACTCCACAATAACTTTTTTCGGATGTGAATATAAATACACTACTGAGACGTCTTTTTTTCTAAAGCTTCAGTGTGTTTTATCATATACAGGTTGAGATCAATAGGTGACACAGCCGCGCAACGAAAAATAGGTAAATACTGTGAATTGGTTGGTAAACAATAAATGTCACTGAAAAACTCGTACTTGTGGAGTTCCAATCTCAAGCTTCTGGCAACAACAGCGACAACAAATCGATGTTGAAAACGAAAAAAAAAACACATCTAACTAATGTCAGCTCATGATGAAATCCCAAAAACACATTTCTCCATTTTTACAGTTGATTTCAGAGGGCAATAAATTCTGTGCACAAGGCATTGCGCTTCACTTAGTCACTGAAAGGCATTATTACACAAGAAGTTCACACCACTGTGAGTATACTAAAGCATGCTGGTTTAGTAAAGACAATGAAGAAGAACAACAGTGTAGCAAGCTGCCTGCATACTGCCTACTCGATATAACTTCCCATATAAAGAGGATAACCAAGGGATATGTAGAAGTTAAAGTCTACCAGGAGAATACTAAAAGGAAATAGGTCTAACACAAAACAAGATTAATACAATGTTAGAGATGACGAGCTTTACTGAAAGTGATTATCTGCATTCACCACACATCTCCTTTGAGTGATATCTTTACTGACTTCTCATTTCATAAACTCTTCACTGAGAATTGGTAAACTTCATGAGATATTACACTGTCTTCTCACAACCCCCTCCTAGTCATTTCTCAGCCTTACGCTTAGTCTTCGAACGCATAAGACACTGGAGATTATTCTAAATCTATCTTGATAGTAGTTAGGTTACCAGTATGAACGAACTATAGTAAGCCTGGTGAAGTGATTCGCACGCACGTTGGCTTCAAACAGTTTAACGAGGGAGAAACGAGACTTATCTTCTAATGCGAAAAACATACACGATTTATATGCTGTCTTTGTTAAAGACAGCCAAAATATTTCAGAAATGCTAATTAATAAGCTCATGAAACAAACGAAAGGAAAAACAACAGATTAGTGATGTCTTCCAATGGCATCTATCCCTATTTGTCTGTCTCCTTTGACTGTTTGCCATCTTGACAAGATCATACCACCGCCTGATCCCTACATAAAGATGATGTGTAAAGCGTTGTATATAACTAAACACACATCATCGAACGACTTAAGACTCCCAACATATTGGTTCAGTCGAAAAACGCTCATCACCCACACCATACTTGATCCCAGGTTCGATCCCCCAAGCGAGACTGGGCGCTAAGCAAGCAAACACACCCCGTATAATAAATCGAACCACTGCAAAGCTCACGCTCGCAACTCAGAACTCAAGAGAATGAAACAAAACCCAATCCCACCTTAATTGTTGCGCTTTCTGTAAACCAGGGTCTTCTATTCTACTTTATAGCAATCAATTTCTATGTCACAGAGCTCAGTTTATAGAGTAGTAGTACATCAATACCAATAAAATCCTATGCAGCCTACTTGATAATGCCAATCAATGACCAGTAGGGGAAATCAATCATCAGTGTTTTTGAGAATAAGTATAATGCAAATAGTTTGTAGTTGGTTTAATAATAAAAAAGTAGGTCAAGTAGAAACTTTTGTGTGTTAGTCCGTCTCTTTCTACTTTGATACTAGTGGTATAGTATATATAATATAAGTGACAGATTTATGTTAGATTACAATAGATTAGTGCAACGGTGTTTTTCCAACTTCAAAATTCCCTTAATTTGAGAAAAGAAGATATTCAATGATAACATTAACAGTAAGAAGAACTACAGTCTATTCTAAAAGATTGATAAGGGGTGGTATAGGAACTAGGTCGGTATGACATCTGCCTCACATATTGTCTTCATTATTATTATTAATATTATTATTATTATTGTCACTGTTAGTGGAACAGACAATTAACTATTTTATTTTAGTTTTAGACCTGAAACAAACATTTTTTACAGGAGGATTAACAATGCTGTTTATCAGTTTTACTAACAAAAGCTATCTACCTACTCCTATCTGACCACTCTCATCATCTACCACCACTGCCAAACTCTGCTATTACTACTACCACTGATTCTTTATCTGTCCACAAATGACCTATTGACCTGAAATATTATACGTTCCGTTAAAACGGCAATGGAGAAATAAACGGGCTTATATATGTGCATATATATGTTTAGAGAGAGAGAGACAGTCATCATCAAAGATAATTCCGTTGTAGACAATTAAGCATTGCCTTTAAAGAGATGTTTAACCAGGTATATTCAAGATAAAAATAATGACAGTTAATGATGCTTGAAATAATCTCTCTTTGTGTGTGTGTGTCATGTTTGTTTCATTCCAGTCTTCTATCCTCTATCTATCTACCTAGAAGAGAACGAAACAATAGAAGCAATCAATAAATATGCCTCCCCTTTTTTCTCTTTTATATTGAGTGAGTATATACATATGATAATACCACCATTGTTTAGGAGTTTCAGGTTATATGGGCATGAGTTATATGCTGGGCTTTAGAATTTCACTTTACATAGCACGCGTCAGTTGATTAGATTTGAGAACGGGAAATTAGACATGATTAGTTGACCGTGGCTATTACTTGTAGAAAAACATTACTATCATTATTATTATTGATAATTTATGCTTTATTATATGAAGCCTAATGACACTCACTTGTCTAATAACTCAGGCTTTATTAGGTAGAATGGGTTTTGGACTGTTGACCAGCCAGCTTGAAAATCTACCTTTCCCTTCTACAGCACTGTAGATTCACATACAAACTTGCATTTTACCTGAAGAGAATCGTTTGATACAGACCAGCTATTGTATAGCTTGGAATTATAGTGACACATTGCTTCTTGATGCCTAATAATAGTTATCTGGTAAATGCATCATTTTCATTCCATCCGGATATTTTAAGTCCCCTAGTGTGAATAGTGACATGAAACGTTCGCCAACGAGGATAAATATTAAACGTTTGACATCAGTTAGGAGCAGTAGGATAACTGAGTTCTAATCACATCTGGTCACATAGCTAATACCTAATTCCATACGATATGATCTGAAATCATCCGGCTCTTCTTCGACTACCTTAATAACGTTATAGCTAAGAGAAGACAGTAGTTTATCAGTTTACCGAATCCCCCTGATATGTGACATAGTGGTCGCGTATCTCATGGTTGCTTGCATATTTCAGTAAAGTTAAAACAAAACAAGTTGGGTTGTCTAATCAGCGAAATCTACTCGAATGCAGATGAAACTTTGATTCTGTTCGTATTTAGGTTAGTGCTATACAGACTTTCTAAATGCAAGTGAACATAGTGTGTACTTGTTGACATAGACACCCGTAAATAATGCATGAAAAGAAGCTCATCTCTTTGAATACGGAACAGTCAATCACTAACTAAGGAATACGAATGAATCTTGTCCTGTTTACCTTGTAAATTTGTGGAGTATTAACCGAATTGTAAGCTTAGATCGCTTTATTTATCTAGTGCCTGTGTTGCGCGTTTTGTAGATAAAGACATGGGGATTGTGAAAAACACATTGGACAATAAATCCTGACTGACCAAAATCGAGAATACAGCACAATTAGTTTGTGAATAAATTGTTCCCTTATTAAGTGTTTTTGTTAATTCGATAAATGTGTTGGTAGACACTATATTATGAATGATCAGCGATCTTGGTCTCGCAACCTGAAGGTTCTGAGTTCGATCCCTGGCAGAATCCTGCGGGGAGGGGGGCGAAACAACTGATCCCTCTTACTGACGGTGGTTCGGCACAGAAATCTAACGACTAATATTATGAAACAACTGTATTAGATAACAATCAAAACTGTACGGTAAATAACAGGCTAGCAGGAGCACTTAAAATCATTAAAGTTAATTATCAGTAGGCAGTAGAAAAAAATGTCACCCCGAGAGAAGAGACTTCTTCTTTCAGATGCGGGTAGACAACCTAGACAGTGACTGTAAGTTCAGAGTTTGACAAGAAAATACCCTCTTTATTAGAAATTATCAAACTTAACAGTCTGTTAACACTAAGTGAAAAGCATGCCTGTAAATGCATTGACAAGTATGCTGTTCATATGATGGGGTTTTAGTTCTATGGGGAATATACATTACTTCAAACGACGCCATTTCACACAGATCCTACGTTAGCCAGCTAAAATGAGTGCTTAGTTCCTATTTTTCTACTCCCTAGTACATTTTCATCTTGCTTATTTCCAACACTGAAATACATGTGCTCTCTGGGTATTATTCCTGCAAAAGGTTTATGCCTACAGACTCCACCAAACGAAGTTTTGTCGCGGCTGCATCTAAATGTGTGGCCGTGAAAATGGAGGTGGTTAAATCAACTTAGTAGATTGTGTTGTTGTCCAGTCAAGATCCTTAATGACATCAGAACCACTAGCAACCTGTCAGAAGATTAAACATATTTTTCAATAATTCAAAAGAAAATTGGTGATATATTTTCATGTTATAACCTGCTGGCCTTCTGCATAATCCCAAAGACGCAAAAGACAGAGTAATAATCTACAAGATTACTCAGTAAGTACAGCTTATGAGAATCATTCATCTTGGTCTTTAATCTGAATATGGCTTTCTGGCTTAAATACAACTTTCGATCTACGGGTTTATGAGTCATTCTTCTTGGTGCTGTCTAGTGAAGTATTTATGAGTACCAAGATAGGATCACTTGGCCTCCAAATCAACAGATTCACTCCAATCGCTGGAGCATAAATGTATGCATATCTATTGAATACCTTTTTACTTTGATGTGCAGCAGTCTCCCCCCCCCCACCTAATCCCCCTCATAAACGCATTCATGGCTAAGGTGTGATCTAGAAGTGGATGGACCGAAATAAAACATGCCTTGCTGTAGACAGTTCATGTAAAGGGTTTCTCAGGTGTAGGATGTGCACTTGAATGAACAAATCCATGTTCTGCAGTATGAAATTGAATTCCCTGAAATCATTATCTAATAAGAAAACAGTCAAAGAGAAAACTCTGTTGTTGTTGTCAATCAGATGAAATCGGTGTATTTCTAAGTTGTGATGCCTGGGTGACTAGTGATGATAAACCTTTATGAAACTCTTATCTGATGCACATTATCTCCTTAAAGTTAAGGATTATGCTTTTTGCTTCTCTCTCACACACACACATGCACGGTCTTACAGTACTAAGGTAAAGTAAATGGAGTGACCATATGAACCTATGACCTAAAGGTTTGGAGGTGAAGCCGTCCATCCGTATAGGCCACCTATGAACTATAGTCCTATCTTTCATGTATGCTGCACCTTTATCAAATCCCAGACAAGGTTAGTAGTAAACACAAAAATGGTACATTTATACAACAACTGACTTGTGAAATTCATTCATTTACTTACTATTACTATAAATAATAATAGTATTGTTATTATTAATATTATTATTACTGCTGCCATTACCATTATTTTATGGTCTATAAAACGATTGTTTAAACAAGTTTATGATCGTGTATTTGATCAGTTGGCTGACTGCCTACACTACTAGTCAATACAAATAAACACGTCTAGCCAAAAGTGTCTGACTCATTCATTCATTCATTGTATGCCCCTGACCTATACCCAAAACACATACATATACATACATATATATACACATCTAATCAATAGAGACTAGACAGAAGGGATGATGCCTATGGATTTGGGATATCCTATCTCAGCTAATCGAAATTACTTCGATTAACCTTTCCTCAAGAGGGGTTAGTTAGTCAATCCTTTCCCTCTCTCTCTCTCTCCCTCTCTCTCTACAACTCACTCATTATAATGAAGATGCTGTGGTGATTGAAAGGTGTATAAAGGAGTGGACAAGGCCAATAATCTATCACTTCTACACATCAAATTCTTAATGGCGAAAGAGAAACAAGAGAGAAAAAAAGGAGGGATTTTAAGATAAACAGTTAAACATCGAAGAATTCGAGGATTGTTTAGAGAGTGGTGTTCAACAGTATTTTAGTCAGCATCTTCAATGTCGCTGAAGAATTCCAGAGAGACCTTCAATTATTTTCAGGCACAATGCTAAAGTTGATAGTTATAATGTCATGGAAAACTACATTGTAAAGCATTTAGAGTAGGAAGGAAAAAACAGAAGTTATAGACTCATCAGATGTTGGATTCACCTTCTTGGTAAACATTTACATCTTTAAGGTAGGACTACAGTCGAGTGTATGAGTATACTCCACCTGATGCGACTTCAGGTGGATCAATTTCTAATTGTCATCAGAAAGGTTCACAGATGAAATAATCTAACGCAGAAATACTTGTGCGGACCCCTTGTGTTATACTAATCTGAGAAGACAACATGAGTGAAAGACAAAGAAATAATCACTTGCAGTACGTTTATATTCATCACCTTAGAGTTGAGATTCAAAAAAAACATCTACTCCCAGTTCTTCTATTCCTGTCTTGAGACCTAGACTACCGAACGGTAGATATGGCTAGGGACTACTCCACTGACAGTGAAATAATATAATCCCATAAAAACAGCAAGTGAGTAATTGACAAGTAATGACAACAGTTCCCATCTTACGTGCTGCTGAATTGCCTATCTCTGGAGCAAAAACACTCAAGGCAAGATGCTTACAACCAGATTCGAATTAGTGGAGTTGTATTCCAGTGATTTGGTCCCCTTTAGACTAAAATCCACCCTAGTCAATCTTATATGTGCATCTAAGTAGTTAGCATTGGCTAGTTTTACTATTACCAAAATGGGGCAAATCATGCTTATGACTTGATAATTTGGAAGTATTAGTAAGTGTATGCTTAACTGGACGGTAATCAAATTCAGGCGAAAATGACAGACATTTGTAACCACTACTCACAAACGTACTAGCGTATTTATATATGGACAGAAGCTAGTTTTGGTTGCTAAGTATTACTGATATGCGTGAATTCAGCTCTGTGTAGCAATCTGTATTCACAACACAATTAAGTAAGGTTTTAAAATGACACACATTCTAAGAAAATCCTATCACTACAGCTTTTGTTTTTAATAGTGTTGCCATGATACACCAACAATGTTCATGAAACTTGATATGATGTCATTATACTTCTCTGGCATACATGTTTTCAGTAAACGTGACAAAATTGGATGACATTTTTTTATATACTAAAGGTCATCATCGTCAGGCGCGTGTTCAGTTTATCGACAAATTCTTCCTTATCACTGTAAGTATTTAGAAATAGAATTAGGAAAACCATATATATTATTCTCTCTTTATATGACACACACACACACACACACAGTAATGCTGTGTGACTATTAGCAAGTAACAGAAAAGTAATAACAATACATCGACAACACCTAAGGTTGTTGTTTCGATGCATTCGATACTGATTGTAATTCATCCTAATCAACACAATCTCTCCCCTCATCATCAATCTTGTTCTCTATATCCTACTATGTTCCTGCATAGGCTTTGAACATGTCAACGAGCAATCGAATGACAGATACTTAAACCACGAAAGGACAGTTCCAACTGTTTACAGCATACTTATTACAATATATTTTCTCTACAGTGGACAAAGTCAGCTTACCATTTCTAATGAAGAAAAACACAACTAAGAATGTATATTTTATCTATGTCGACTTGTATGAAGCAGACTTCTAAGTGTGTGCCAACGTTTCATAAGCGCTCATTATAAAGCTATGAATAAAAACACGTCGCTGTATCCGAACTCTGTTCACAAGACCAATCTATCATTCGCATATATTTGACTTGTTGGTGACACTGGATAGTGAATGGTTTAGAAAATATTTTAATGATTACGTAAAGAGCTTAATCTTGTTGACAAGCAGAATTAATTATATATATATATATGCAAATAAGTTAGTTGACTGCACAAAGATAGAATGTCCGGATGCTTTCGATTTTTGAAGAAAATGAAAAGATGTCACTAAGGTGTGACCATTGTGACAATGATAAATTCGCTAAACACCTCTTATATTAAGTAAGATAAGTTGAAAGACGATTGCTAACGCTTCATAGAAAACTTGACAATGCTTAGACGGATTCACTGACCATATTTACAAGGTGTATAGAAATATTTCTATTGCTAAACACTAGGGTTGTAACAACACCATGTAAACTCATGTCCATCCTATAAGTGAAAATAAACCCATAGCTATACAGATGGTGAATATATACACGGAGTCTATAGGTTAGGTGAACAGTATATTCATCTAGGCCAATAATAACAAAAAATGTTGAAAATGATGAAAACCCTCAGTATGAGAAAGGATAAGATTTCGACTGCACTAAGCATAGAAATTCATCATTAATTTTATATACTTTAGGGTAAAATATGATGATTCACAATTACTTACCATGAAACTGTTCAGTGGTCTTGGAATACTATCTTTTCTTCGTTTCTTTTTTGATTCCGCAATAGTTGTATACGGTCGTAGAGCATTGGTGCCGGTTAGTTTAGCAGCACGATCACTTGGCCATTCAGTTGGTATGGCGTGTTCATCTGTTAAGTGTTGCATCCACACCTGTAAACCTCCTAATTTAGCTGAAGCACATTGATCACAATCTTGCATCCACATTCTTCTTTCTTTTTCGCTGTTGTTGTTATTAATGTTCAGGTAGGCAAAGGAAAGAATAGAGAGGATTTTTTGTTTTTCTCTTGTAATTGAATGAAAGCACAACGGCGATAATACTTTGTGAATTGTGGTTAAAAATGGAATGCAATGAAGCTTTTTATAACATCAAGTTTCTTCGAAATACAAATTATTGTATGAATGTGGGTGTGACAATTTTTAATTCTTCAAGTGATAAATCACTCAAGATAATAATAATTTACACGTCGAACTGTATCATACAGTAAAATGTGGCATAAAATGTGTGATCCACCAATTTATATAGTGACAGATGGGAGGCCTAGAGGCAGAAGGCAAGATAACCAGTGATATGTTTTTGTGCCCCAGAGTTGTGTGTGTATGTCTCTATTTATGTGTGTATGATAGTAGAAATCACCTTGACACGCTGCTTATGTGACTGTTATTATTATTACTATGATTATTTGCAGTAGTAGTAGTACAAGTGGTAGACAGGGGCTGCGTAGATTAACTCGTGTGTGTGATTTGATCGTATCTCACACGTCTGGGTATAGATGAGTTCGACTGTGAGACTTATTAACACGTGGCTCACAATATGCTACCTGTATATATGTCTGCCTGTCGATTAATTTCAGGGAAGAAGTAATACGGATAAAATTTTTACTCGAAGGTCTATTCCCCATATATACAACACAGTGTCATGTATTCTAATTTTTGACTGAGTACGTCAGCCGCATTAAATTACCGACCAATCTCAAATAGAAGCTAAACAAGTTAAATACTGAAAGCTGATTGGTTAAGGAATAGAAACAACGTGACTGGAAGGTGCAATTTTATTTATTTTAGACTAGACGAATAAGAGAGGGATGGAATTTATGGCCTAGGGTAGGGTAGGAGAGAAAAACACCAGTGACGTGTGTTTGCTTGTCTATTTGTTTATTTGTTTGTCTGTCTGTTTGTTTGCTTGTTTGTTTGTTTTCAGGTCATTCAACACAGGAATATTGTATGCGTCTATCGAATCAAGTGCAGTGTCACCAGTTGACTATAATGGACGATCAGATTGTACAAATATCCCAGACAAGAAGTTATGGAATATGAAGAGAACAACTAAAAAGAACAAGATATACAACAGTGATACTTCCACTGAACATAGCACGACAGTTCCCAAGTGTGATTTTGTAGTTATCTTGTGAAAGAATGATTGAATCACGAAAATGCTGTCTGTTTAGATAAAAGAATATTCACTTATGGAATTAATGTCAGAAATATGTTAATGTATTAAGTTATACGATAAAAAAATAATAATAGGTGCATTGTACAAAGTACTACTGGTAAGCTTATTTGAGTAGTTGGATACCGATCCGGACGGCCGTTTCTCCCGTTCGGGGACATTGAATGGTGTTATCCGTCTACTCATTTTAATCACTCAGTAGAATGTAGTGTGTCATGCTTGTAGGTTGTGTAAATTTCAAATAGCTAACTTCACTTAATAATAATAATAACAGTATGGTTTGGTCACCAGTGTTTAGAAACAGGCAAATATAATGACTGAATAGGGGATCATTAAACATTAACATTTTTTCTTAATAAAGCAAGGACATTTTGTACACACCAAGATGGTATCACCATTTATTTTGCTGACTTCTCATTAACTGTGTACAGCTTCAAAATGTTACATGATGTCAGTTGATAGGAGGCTGCAAATTTAACAAGCAGTGCTTAGAAAATTATACCTATATAGTTTTTACCGAGAGAGTTCAAGTTTCAACAAAAGTAAATGTTTCCGTACAATCGCGAAGAAGTTATGTAATGAAGACAAGAGGCGAATACGATGCTGAATAACTGTGTGGTGAGCTCAAGTCAAATCATGGAAACAAGAAACAAACAAAGTTGAACTATATCAAAGTGGAGGGAGGTTAAAGCCAAGGACTACGTAATCAAATGAGAGAGTGAAGACATTCAATTGCCAGGGCAAGGAAAGAGTGAACACAGGCATTTGATAGCAATTACTTTGGTAAACTTGAGGAGAAATCAACTGTTTTGTCTACTGATAATTTAAAAGGATTTCGTAATGTTCACCGCATGCCCTGTATTAATGAAATGTCTGACAATGACACTATTGTGAGTATTTGTTCCCTTGAGACGTCGACTTTTTGGTACGTGTTCAGCAAATTGGAGGTGTATGCCCTTCTTTCTCTTCTTCCAATGTAACTGCTCCCACAGATGCCTATAAATTTGTATACACAGTAAGAGTTAACATAATAAGGGTATATATATATTGACTTTTGATTACACCAAAAAGCACGTTGTCCGAAAAACGGGAACCAGCTTAGCTATAGTGTAGGTTCTGACCAGTGACGTATTCAATCCTCTGTTAACTATTTCTACAATATTGTCATCTTTAAAATCGATTTGAATGAAGATAGACTTCTTTCCCACTGTGATTTATTTATCATTTCAGCCTTCACATCTTTAGTACTTGTTACTTGGATTTTTTGAGGGTAACCGTTGCTTTTCAATATTCATCTGTTTATGAGAATCATAGTGTTGACAAGATGGATATCTCAAACAGTAAAAACAGTATTATCCGATTAAATTACTTCTAGTTGAAGTGAATACTTGTGATGTACACAGTGCTTTGTTCTTGAGTGAACAACCAGAATTGGTGTTACACAACAGACTACAATTAAATGTCCTAAGGTTATCGACATAAATAAATCGTAAGTCAACTCCAAGGGAATGGGATTAACTGCTTGCAAATAGTACATCACATTTCCTGCTGTTTTAACCATTTTGTACACTGTACAAACTCAAAGAACATAAAGTCAGAATAGTCAGTCATATTGACGCTTTCAGATGTGTTCACTTTAACTCTTTTCAGCCGTAGGCAGCCTTAAATGTATACACAGGATTAATGAAATTAGAGCATACTTTTAAAAAAATGTTTCCTCAACAGAAGTCAGACGTGAAGATCATAGGCCACCTAGACAACCAACAACACAACAGTCAGTGACGTAAACATCACAGCTAGTATAAAACCAAACACTTTTATTTTATTTTATTCCCTTTCCCAGCGGAACATTACGCCTTAAGCTTGAGTGCTGAAGATTCTATGGCATTTTGTATTATTTTCACGACCAACCTTCCCTACTTACTGGGTTTACTTTCGATCAATAGGAGGTATAGGAGTGCGTTGACTGGAGATTGAACCCCTGATCAAGTGTGCGCGTGGCTATCAAGCATTTCACTAACGTAAGGGGAATAAAAGTAGTTAATTACAACAAGTCTGTTAGAAGATTTGAGAGGTTTTATTATACGGTTTAAAAACAAAATACTACATATCTAGCAATATCCGGGAGGCAGATTACGTAATACCACACAGGGAATCAGTTAAATGAATTAAGATTATTTGGTTGAGAAAATAATTGTTGTGGAAAATCGAAAACATGATTATGTAAAAAGTTGATTTATTTCAGAAAGAGTTTAGTTTCACACACACATACATACACATACACATGCTGAAAGAAGAGTGTTGTTTTTTGGGCTCAGAGTATATCATTCCTTTAAAAGCTGTGTTTGTCCACCCATGACGTACGTGTATGTGTGTGTGTGTAAAGGTGAGTATTTGAAATGGTCCATTTAAGTTGTTTGTTTCTTTGCATAAATCTCTAGCTTACCTATACCACTTAAGATAGCTACTTCAGAGAGATTTGAGTACTGAATCTAGTATTACTGTATCACTAGACTGTAAACACACATATAACTCTAGTTTAAATTGCTGAATATTCTTGCTTAGGTTACACTGTATAAAAACAGACTGGGCTTAATCGTGATTGACCTGTGATGATGATGATGACTGTGATGACTGTGATGACCAATACTACCACCAACCTTGACACTATACTCCTTCTTCATCCCGCCACCCCACGCATCTATTTCTACTCTTAAAGGCTAATGACAAAGTGATGAATACTAGTAAAAGTAAGTAGGATGTACGTTGATGCATACTGCATACTTAAAGATAATGATACATGCAAGGAATTATCGAGAATATCCTTCCTTCCAATATACTACACTACACTTCACATGCATACGCATATACGCACAGACAGACAGGAGAACAGTAAGAGCTAAACAAAACAATTAGATACAAAAACCAACAACAACAACATCAAGTAACGGAGAAAGATGGTACCAGGGCGTAGCCATCAAAAAACAAAAAGGGATTAAATTATTATCCCTTAAAAATGAGAATAATAATAATAACAGTAATGATAAACCTCGTGTCTTGTCTGAGTTCTTAATTAGTTTGTTTACTTCTCATTCATCTTTTTTTGATATCAGTTTCTTATGTTTTCGTTTCCCTTTTATCCCCTTATATAGCATTTTAAACATGAGAAAAATGATTGAAGTGTCATATACTACTACTATTCCCTACGCAGAGATCAGTAGTCGTTGTCTGTTTCGCATCAAATATTTATCTGATTACAGATATCTCATATTACTGTAGTAAAATAAATGAAAATCCAATCATTCTTACTGTTTTGATAATCCTAATTTAACCAGCTTGCTAACTTGAAGCGCCTGAAGGTCGGTCTCATTGTTTCTCGTTGGTTCTGATGATACAATTGCAAATGTTATTCATGTATCGGTTGTTTAACGGTTATCACTGTAACTGTCAAGAGCGAAGTGTACACTACTCGAAATTTACCTGCCCAGTTTATGTGATGCCATCATTCAACTGGGTAGTCGAACACTTTTGTACAATGTAGGGTACTTTAGTCTTTGACTCGAAGTTCGAATAGGGTTTCTCCTTTTTTTTGAAATATCCCGCGTAGTTTACTAACCAATTCCAGGCTCCAAAAAAGTGAAAGTTTAGGCGTGCGAATAAGAACAAAATGCAGTAAAAGAAACAATGAAAACTTCATAGGGAGAAAAAAATAAACTTATTGGAGTATAGAAATATTTTTATCACATGCTGTGTTAAGTGGTCAGTGAAAAATGAGCCTACCTGGACGAAAGTTTGATGCCTGTTTTCACTCATCATCAACAATGAGGAGACGGACAATTTTTCACAACTCCCAGGACACTTCACCCACGAAATTCTTATGTTTCTCAACAGAGAGAGAGAGAGAGGTGCAGACACTGCAATCACGAGTATCAGTTGACTACGCCAACAACATTACACGACTGCTACCTGTGTCCCCAGGTGTCACTCCTTAAACGAGAACGCACAACGACGTAAACACGAAAAGTATATTTTACGCAATTCAAACATCGCCAGGGTTATGTCAGTTAGTCTGCAATCATGATCAATAAAATATCAGCGTTATTTTATGTTGGCCGTTTCTGATTGGTTTAGTTCAGACGGGACATCGGTCACTTATGTGGGCTAAATTCTGATTGGTTTATTTCCAGGCTGGACGTTAACCACCATAACACAACCGTAATAGATACATCCAATCTTCTACTTTTACGACTCAGTAGCCGATTTCACAACCTGTGACAGTTTCAGCAGTGGTATATGGTAACACTACCGAAGTTTATTTAACCTGAACAGTGTATGATTTCATCTACCTAGATTTAGAGTAAGATGGAAAATTGAATGAACATTCTACAAAAGTTGATAACACGAATATCACTGAAATGGGTAAGAAAATTTGTTTGGATTCTGCTCAGCTTCATCAAATTATTTGACATTTATTGGTAAATGGGCTCGTCTACCTAAAAGTAAGC